TTAAAGTCCCCCTGTAGTGAAAATCAAGTTTTTTTTGTTGTTTATTTGTCTGTGTGGTGTTTTTAATATGCTTAACCATGCGCCAATCTATTAATCAGCACCATTGCGGAGTATTTTTCTCCTTAAAACTGTAGTTTCCCAATGGCAGTCCCAGAAATGCGGTTTGAAACAGGCCTCGGTTTGCTACGTCACAATCCAATAACCAATCACGTCAAGGGATCGATTCCTATCTCTAGCATGCAAACCAATACCAGCACAAAACCAAAAAGAAATCAGAGCAAAAAACCCATGAAGCTGTGGTTTAATGTGAATTTAGAACCGCTAACTTGCATTATAACCCGCGGCAACAGTGTAAAAGTAGCCCGGAGTCAGACGCACCTCTCCCGCATCGGCGTCTGCACTTCACACGCGTACGCGAATTAAGAAACACAAACGGCTGCATTCGAGTCTTCAAGGCATTTTAGGACACAACATCGTCAAGCAAGTAACTTTAAGGAATGTTACAGTATTCACTGTAGTTGTCCGCTAGTAAAAACATAGTTTTATCAGTTATTATCCGTGTATGCCATTGTTTTGCGTTTACTACAGTTCAGTGGATCAGGAGGCGCTGGCTGGTGTGACTGAGTGGAGGCGGGGCTAATTTGCATATTCATAGATCCACGTATAGTAAATGAGGCAAGGGCGTAGTTACATTCAAATTATTTTAAGGTATGAGAAAATTATTTTCACAAGAAAAAAACATTTAAATATGTAATTAAGATGAGTTTTAAGGGATAAAATATTTGACTACAGGGCGACTTTAATAAACTTGCATTAAATACATCGTATACTGATCCATCAGTGTAATATGAATGGCTGGATTTGGTTCGTGTCATTCAGACTGACCTGTGACTGTTTTCTGTCCATCACTTAAACCGTTCCACCACTGGCTCACCTGCAGAAAAACATGCGTCTATTAAACACCAATCGAAAAACACAAACGTCCATTAAACGGACACACACCTGTTTGTGCAAATCGCCTTGTTTCTGAGGCCGTATCTTCTCCAGCCAGTCCGCCTTCACATCATCAAAGTAACTCTGTACTCTAGATTTTAGACTTTCGTACTGCCATATCGCCGCTCCGCCGAACGAACAACCTGTAAACTGAGCTGGAGTTATTACGATATTCTAGAAGATCATAATCCACACACATACTGGACCTTATTCTTGTAATATAGATATTTTAATTGTCCCACTGAACTGAATAGTTAAAGTATAATGACAAAATGAAATTGTTTCTGCACATTGTGCTCACCACGTGTCAGTAAAATATACCTACGCCTATAGTGAAGACCAAAGGTTTGACCAGTCTGCCAAATGACCTGGCGGGTACATGTGGGGTGGGCGGGTCTGGAGCAGGAGCCTCGCCCTTCTTGTGGAGGATTTCATTTAGCTCCGCCTCTTCTGCCACACCCTTCTTTGGCTCCACCCTCTTTGTTATTTTGCGGAAGCCACACCTCTGCTGCGTCTGGAGAGTGAATCTATTTGGAGCAAAACAATGATAAAATATTGCATTTATATCGATTTTTCAATGGATGGAATGAGGAAAGAAATAAAAACAAGTTACCCAAAAATGTTATCTTAATTTATAAAGACTTGTTTGATAAAAGTAACCTTTAGAGAACTTATAAACAATATATGTAATGCATTTATTTTATATAATAAAACAGGTGAATCTAAACAAGCATGCAAAGACCACAGGTGGCGCTATAACAGTCATAAGCATCATATTTCTATGGGAAATGACCAAAAACGTTTTTTTTTAAAGCATTGATTTAGGAGGTTATAGGATTGCTAAATAATATGTAATGTATTTTTTTCATATGTGCTTCAATGCCTCAAAGCGCTCGAACCCCGATAACTATTAGAAAAGTTGTTTCTAATAATTTTGCCAAAGTTATTACTCATATTTTTATTTTTTATTACAATACATAAGGTCCAATCTTATTTCTAGCTCTCCTTAAATAATGCTTACATCTACAGGTGCCTTAAAACAGAACTAAAGACCGAAAAGTTGTGTTTCTAATGACATTCATTCCGTTCAAACATTAGAAGACTTTAAGCTGAAGCTTTAATGCCTGAGCTGATGAAAGCCACTGAAGCTGCTGTGAGTGGAGTGTGTGTTACCTGTGCGTCAGGTAGTGTGTGTGTTACCTGTGCGTCAGGTAGTGTGTGCTGCTGATGTCCTCTGAAACCCTTCTGAACACTGAAGCCCTCACCGCCATCATCACTGCTGCTCATGCAGCTGCTGCTTCCGCTTCCGGCTCGGAGTGCGCACACAGCGGCGCCTGCTGGAGGAGGACACGCACTGCACTGACAAGATCGAGTCCTATTTTAAACTAAAAGAAAACGTGCATTTTAAATCTAATTCATATACATTTACAATCAAGATTTCAAATTGGACTAAATTAGCAAAAATCACGTTTTGATTTATTTGCATGCTTGTTCATTTTTTGTTAAGGCAGGCGTTGCACATTTTCATTTTGTTTTTATTCATTTACTATTTTTTTGTGAGAGTTTATTAATTAATTAATTAATTAATTAATTTGCAGGTTTGCACATTTGTTTATTTTATTCAGTCATCTATTTTACTCATTTGCAGCAATGTTGAATTTAATCATTTATTATTTTTATTTATTTTAATATATTTGACTTGTTTTTTAGTTTATTAATTAATTAATTTTATTTGTAGGTTTGCAGATCTTTTTTACATTTATTCAATTAATTACTGATTTGCGATTTTAATTGATTTAATATATTTGGCACATTTGTTTTTATATTAGTTTATTCATTGACTATTTGTGTCAGTTAATTAATTAACTTGTTTGCATTTGCTTAGTTTGCTCATTAGTAGCAGAGGTTTTTAAAATTCATTTAATTATTTATTTGCATGCTTTCACATTTATTTATTTTTATTCATTTATTATTTTGGCAGCATTGGCAGTTGTTTTTAGTTTGTTATTGATTTACGATTTTTGTTTATTTATTAACTGATTTATTTAATTTATATTATTCTATTCGTTTGTTGCAATTTATTTATTTATTTGCACGTTTGCGATTTTTTAAAATTAATTAATTAGGCTATGTGGCAGAGTTTGTTATTGTATTTTTATTCATTGTATTAATTTCTATTTTTTTTAGTTAATTAATTAATTTATTTGCATGCTTGCACATTTGTTTATTTTACTCATTTATTATTATAGCATGTTCTGCGCTTTTTTAAAATTAAATTTGTATTATTTTACGAGCTTTTAGTTTATTAATTAATTAATTAATTTCTATATTTTGCGAATTTGTTCATTTTCGATTCATGAATTATGTGGCAGAGTTTGCACATTTTGTATTATATTTGTATTAAATTGTATTCATTTCTATTGTTGTCAGAGTTCATTTATTTATTTGCATGCTTGCATGCTTGTTTATTTTACTCATTTATTGTTGTAGCAGGTTCTGCGCTTTTTTTAAATGTATTTTGTATTATTTTCTTTATTCATCATTTTTGTATGTATTAATTAAAGGTCTATGTGGCAGGTTTTTCATTTGTATTTATACTTTCTTTTACTGTTTCGGTTTTCATATTTAATGTTAGTATATTTGTACTTATTTATTTGCAGAGGCGGTGTTTCAGCACGTGCATGTCTAATAAAGAAAAGAAATCAGCGTCGGTCTGCAGCTGCGCTCCGGTGCGCATCACAGTACAGCGCGTGCGCTCCGCTGCTCCGGTTCCACCGTCTCCTCCTCGCGAACATGGCGGCGCCTGCGCTCTCCAGCCGGGCTGGTTCAGCTGGCAGCAGCCCCACCGCCACCCCGAACAGCACCAAACTCGTCCCGCACTCCCCCGAGCTGGACTTCAGGTCCGGAACCAGGATCGAGGAGCTCAACCGGCTGATCGCCGAGTTCAGCAAGCACGAGCAGCGTGAGTACGACGACCAGCGAGCGCTCGAGATCCACACGGCCAAGGACTTCATCTTCTCCATGCTCGGTGAGAAAGAGCTCCGCTCCGACACGAAGCAGCACATGCATGCCATGCATCTGAAAGCGAAGTGCGCTTTTGCGCGTTCGGTGCGTCTGTTTGTCTTTGTCAAGCGCTTCGGTCTGTGTTGAGCAGCGGATGGGTGTGTTTGCAGCTTCAACACCCTCAACTCGGGTTTGCAATGCTATTCAGACGCTTTATGTGCATGAGCTGACAAAATCTGGTTATCTGCTTGCTGTTAAAGGAACAGTTCAGCCAAAAATGTATATTCTGCCATTAACTACTCACTATCATGGCTGTATGACTTTCTATCTTCACTGAAAAACAAAAGGAGATGCACAATTTCCAAGCCTCTCTGTATCCATTCAGTGAAAGTGGAAGGTCAGCAGTGACTGTCAAGCTCCAGAAAGAGCAAAAATGCACCTCTGAAGCCATAAAATTAAACATGTTAAACTTAAAGCTATACATTTTCACCTTAAATGACATGAAGCTTGCTTCGTTTGGTTATCGGAAGGAAAAACAAGGCAAGACAGCATGAGAAAAAGTTAAACAAGGAGTAGAATTAAATGGAAATTATTTCAAATATAATAAACGATTAAAAAACATTAACAAAATCACAAACATGCGAATAAATAAATTAATAAACAAACCTGCAATAAATAAATGAATTAATACATTTAAAAATATGAACAAAAATAAAATGCATAATAAAGTAAAATAAAATAAAAACAAATGCACAAGCCCTGCCAAAATATGAACACATTAATTAAAAATAATTATAATAAACATGCTTTAAGCATGCAAGTAAAACTAAATGTTGTTTTTTGTTATAAAAAAAATATTAGGCCTCTAACTGACCTGTTTCACTGATGTATGACTTAAAAATATGCATAATATTAAGTTCAATATTGTTTATGTTAAAATTCCATCCAAATGCATGAAAAAATTGTATGCAATTCAAATACAGAAATCTTAAATCTAGGTCTGAATATGTTTTGGAGTGGAAATGGTTGTGAATTATTGCTTGTAAAAAATGAAATGTATAAGGAATAAGTGGCACCAAATTAGTAGTCATGTGGCGCCATTAGAAAGAGCATCACTGCATAAAAATAGCACATAAAAGCTGCATTTACTCCTTAAAGAGTTGAATTCTCAGAGACGCTGAACAGAAGCAATGCACTGTGAAGCAGAAGATATCAGCAGCAGAGATCTGTCCGGACGCATGAGTGCACTGACTCTCTGTCTCACGCGTGTTTACTCAGCCATGCAGTCATACACTCATCTGTGCTGCACGGAGAACAGTTTGAGGACAGGATGAAATCAAAACTGACAGTGTTTACTTCTTTAAGTCAGATTATGAAAGTAAAATAGGTTGCGATCGCTGCTGGGTCATTCTGTGTCGAATCAACCGAAGTTCAGAAATGTCCCCTGCTAAAATTTCTGAATCTATTAGTATTTTTTCTGTAGAAAGAAAACAAGAAATATGATAAAAACTAAAAAATTAAATGCTATTGAAGAATAATTACTGCGTAATACACTATTTTGTAGACAGAGGATCGTCAAAATGATGATTTTCATCTGAGATTTAAAGCCAAATAACAGGACAGTAAAATGACTTTAGAAAGATTGCAGTATCATTTTGTTATTTTTACACAGATTGTTAGGTCTATAAATCTGTTGACGTTAGCAATCTTTGTGGCATTATATGCTAATGGTAAAACATGGTAAAAGCACTTTTCTTCCAAAAAGCTTTTTTTTTTTCATCAACGTTTGCATGCATGTAGCTCAAGAATTATTAAAGATATCTGAATATCCTTTCAAATAACAAACTTTGCTTTTGGTATCTTCATTTTTAAGGCCATACATGATTCACTTCCAGAGATATGGGGGATCTCAATGTGGCTCCAGGAGTGAATTGCTAAATTGTGCACATTTTCAGTGGTCAAAAACCAAATGTGCACTTCTTTAAAAAAAGGAATGTCTGAAGAACAGAAAATGTTGACGCTAGAAATATATCTTGTTTCCCTCTATCAAAACGATTGCATGGAACATACCTATCCGAGTGCCAAAAATATTCTTTTTCCGAAGTTTGCATGCCTGTAACTCGAGAAGTATTAAAGGGATCTCAATATAATTTCACATTCTGGTTCTTAGCAGACTTTTTTCTTTTGCTATCCTCATTTTTAAGGGGTGTTTGCTATCCCTCTAGGGGTGCCGGTGTCCTGCAGAGTTTAGCTCCAACTTGCCTCAACACACCTGCTGGTAAGTTTCTAGTATGCCTGTAAGAGCTTGATTAGCTGCTTCAGGTGTGTTTAATTGGGGTTGGAGCTAAACTCTGCAGGACACCGGCCCTCCAGGACCGAGTTTGGGCACCCCTACCCTATATGATTCAATCCTATAAATATGGAGATCTCGATGCACAAAATGTCAAATTATAAAAATTTTCAAATAGTCATTTTGATCCACTTCTACAAAATAGCGAATTACTCTGTAAAAAAATACATCCATGATATTTAATATTTTGGCTTTCTTCATCATTTATGTATTCCTTTCACCAGAAAAAAGATCAAAATCAACATTTTTAGCCGGGGACCTCTGGTTGAGTCGACACAGAATGACCCTGTAGCATGCTGAGCTTGAGTTTACTGCACTCTTATTATTATGATAGATGCTCAAATTGTGGGCCTGAAGGTATATTTCTGAATGTTGAACTCGCTGTGGCCTCTGGAGGAGTGTGACAGATGTGAAAGGTGCACACACACACACACACACACACACGAATCACTAAGTTGTTTTGGTTTTTCTGAGCGTCTCTGGAGGTTCTTCTGCTGCTGACGGGAGATTTTAATACCCCGGAGTCACTGGCTGGCACATGTACACTTCATCATGAGCTTGAGCTCAGGTGTGACTGGGGATTATTTTCTTCAGGAGTCTGTGGGCTGTTTGTCTGGTCTGAAATGTTCTTGTGTTTGTGTAGGAATAGTTTTGTAGACTCTATTGCATGTGCTCTGTTGATTTGTGGTTATAGATTAACCTTTGTCAATTGCTTTCTTATGAAATTTTGTTCTGTGAAGCAACACACTTCATTCCCTCTAATGCTGCGCTCACGTCTCGTCAGAAATACCGTAATTGCGAAACAACAACTTGTTACAACATAGAAATTGTTAGTTTTTGTGGCAACACTCATGACGCCAAAATGCATCCAAAAACTATCACTAAAGATGTTTGCATTAATTTAAACTTGAAATAGAGTGGAAAATTAATTATTTTTGCAATGCCAAAAAAATGGTAATAAAATTACACTTAATTACAGGTTATGAATCAAAAGTAATGCAGTGATACAGAAATACTTAGCAATTTATATAATATACTTTTCACATTAAGTTCATGAGAATTGATGTGAAATTAATGATACTAAAATAGGCTTTTAAGTGGCTTTCATGAGATCCAACCCTTTAAAAAAAAAAAAAAAAAAAATTTAGTTGGATATGCTGCTACACATGATTTGGGCATTGGATAATTTTTGTTTTTGAGTATTTCGATCATTATGTGATGTACGTTGTAACTGTGTACATACAACTTGTGCGTTCAACAAAGACATTAATGTTTTTTTTTTTTTATAAAAATATTGGTTGGATATATTTCATGCAAGATCTTTAAATCAATGTATTTATTTAAAATGCAAAATGTGTAGGAATTCCAATAAAATTTCCCACTTGGAATAGCTTTCCTTTTGTCATGAAATACTTGTATAACATCTTACTGCTTTTTTGGTCAAATATAATCCCTTTTACAAGGAAATTTGCGGTGCCAAAGGGCACTTCGGAGAGAAAACAATCATGGCCGCCATATTGAAGGGTCGTTCCAAACCGAAGTGCTCAAAACTCCTTTGGAATTAAGGATTTCGAAGGGTACAACTGATGGACACTTCGGGCTCCCATGATCCTTTGCGCAGATTCTTTGCATGTTGACGGCGCCTCCGTGTGGGCACGTGATGATGACGCAGAAGGGCACTTCAATGAACAGTTGTTTGGTCCCCTATGCCCTTCAACCCTTCAAAGCTCTCACACCGGAGGGTAAACTCTTTGAAGGGATTAGGGCGTTGGGATGAGCCCTTCCGAATGGAACGCAGGGATAGTCCGTTTTATCTACTTTGTAGAAGTGCACAAAATTTGTCCTTTTCTAATGATGTAATTTCCTGTTTTCAGGCATGGTGCAGAAGTTGGACCAGAAACTTCCGGTTGCCAACGAGTACCTGCTGTTGTCCGGTGGGGTCCGGGAAGGCGTGATTGACATGGATCTGGATGAGTTGACGGTATATGCGCGGGGAGCTGATTACGACATGGACTTCACGTTACTGGTTCCCGCGCTCAAACTCCACGACCGAAACCAGCCGGTCACGCTAGACATGCGTCACTCGGCGCTCTGCCACTCCTGGCTCAGCCTGCGTCTGTTTGATGAGGGAACCATCAACAAGTGGAAGGACTGTTGCACTGTTGTAGACCATGTTAACGGCGCTACCAATTACTTTTTCTCACCCACGCTGGTTGCCGACTGGTTCTACGAATCCATTAGTATGGTCCTGGCGGAGATTCAGAAGAAGCCGCAGCGTGGCGTCCCGCGGGTCGAGAAGGTCGAGCGCAACGCAACCGTCATCTCCATCATTTTGGGCGTCGGAGGCAGTCGGATGCTGTACGACGTGGTTCCAGTAGTGTCATTCAAAGGCTGGCCAGCGGTGGCCCAAAGCTGGCTAATGGAGAACCATTTTTGGGACGGGAAAATCACGGAGGAGGAAGTGATTAGCGGGTTTTATTTGCTGCCTGCTTGCTCTTCTACAGGCCAGAAGGAAAACGAATGGCGCTTGTCGTTTGCGCGCAGCGAGGTGCAGCTGAAGAAGTGCATCTCTGCGAGTCTCATGCAGGCGTACCAGGCTTGTAAAGCTCTGATTATTAAGCTTCTCTCTCGACCCAAAGCCATCAGCCCGTATCACCTGCGCTCGCTCATGCTTTGGGCCTGCGACCGCCTGCCGCATACGTACTTGGCACAGGAAGATTACGCCGCGCACTGTTTGCTTGGGTTGATCGACGACTTGCAGCACTGCTTGGTGAATAAGACCTGCCCTAATTACTTTATCCCGCAATGCAACATGCTAGAGCATCTTAGCGATGACATGGCCATGCTGCATGCTCGCAAGTTGTCGTCAGTTCGCTCTGACCCAGCAGAACACTTGCGGAGCGCGATCGAGCATGCAAAAGCCGCGTCGCGGCTCACGCTTGAGCTCCAGTGGCGCGGAGGAAGCTCAAACCTGTCATCCCCTCTGTCGGACACCGGAGCCGATCAGCAACCAGATGACCGGCTCGCGAAGAAACTCCAGCAGCTGGTCACGGAGAATCCTGGGAAGTCCATCTCAGTCTTCATCAACCCAGACGATGTCACACGACCTCACTTTCGCATTGATGACAAATTCTTTTAAAGCCACGCTTATTGATCAGATTGGCTGTTGACTGGGAACAAGCTCACTTTCGCATTAATGATAAATTTTTCTGAAGCCACACCCACTGATCTGATTAGGCGCTGGCTGCAAACAACATCATGCAACCTAATTTTTTAATCCATAACAAATTATTTTGAAGCCACGCCCTCTGATCTGATTGGGCACTGGTTGCAGATGACCTTACATTTGCATTGATGACAAATTCTTCTGAAGTCATGCCTCCTGATCTGATTGGGTGCTGACTGTGCTCACTTTCACATACATGATACATTTTTCTGAAGCCACGCCCACTGATCTGATTGGGTACTGGCTGCAGACGACCCCATGCAACCTTACTTTTGCATTGATCAATTTTTTTCTGATCTGATCTGACGAGTTCACTTTTGCATTAATGACATTCTTCTGAAGCCACGCCCTCTGATCTAATTGGGTGTTGGCTGCAGATGACCTGACATTTGTATTGGTGACATTCTTCTGAAGCCACGCCCACAATCTGATTGGGCGCTGACTGCAGATGATGTTACACGAACTCCCTTTCGTATCGATTATAAATTCTTCTCAAGCCACGCCCAATGATCTGACTAGGAGCTGACAACCTCACTATAACATTAATTATAAATTATTCTGAAGCCACACCCTCTAATCTGATTGGGTGCTGACTGCGGACGACCTCACTTCGCATCAGTGGCATTCTTCTGAAGCCACGCCCCCTGATCTGATTGGACGCAGTTTTTAAAAAAAAAAATTTTTCTTTGTGTTTTTAATGAGTCCCAGAAGCAGGAAGCCGTGTGTTTTGCACAGCGCCGGAGATGTTAAACACTTCAGGCTCTGAATATGATGTTAAAAATGGACATGATCCTGTTTCACTGCTGCCAGTTTGAAGTCGTGTTCACGTATCTGTTCCTCCCCATTATGGACGCCGAGCTTTTACGGGAAGGATAGAGAGAGCGGAAGATTTATGGAAGGATGTGGGGTGAGGACGGTTTGTGGAAAACAGGAAACCCATAGCTCCACTCAGAAGTGCAATTAGACAGTGTGTTTATACGCTTTACTTGTAAGTAACTGTAACATGATATTGTAAACACGCTATTTTAGACACCATCATTTCACATTCACACTTACAGAAGAACTTTATTCTCACAAACTGCACATTGAGACTCCAAAAATACACACAAGCACACGCACCTGTGATGATTAACACACAGTCTCTTGGGGTGAATCTCATGAAAACATTTCCTTGTAACATTTGACCCCCCCCCCACACACACACACACAAAAAAAATATGTATAATTATATTTTGCATTAAGATTTTAAACACATTTTAACCCTAAATTGCTTTTAAGTTTTTATTTTTAAATTCTCATTAGATTCTCATTACTCTAATACAGTGATTTATTTATTTTTTTAAATAAGCCTACATTAAAGATCATACATCAAATAATATTGCAGTTGAAATAATATCTCTTTTTTTTTGCATTGCATCAATTAGAATTACAAGGTAAAATGTGCTTGTCATGAAAAATCTTGGTCCTAGTGGCTTTTAAATTCCTTTCATGAGATTCACTCCTTGAAAAAAAATCTAAACAGAAAATGTATTTGTCTGTGTTTTTATATATATACAGTATGTGTGTGTGTGTGTGTGTATATATATATATATGCTGCTAAACATGATGGGTGCATTGGATAATTTGTTTTTGTAATAATTTGAGTATTTTGATCATGTGATGTGCTCTGCTGTAATTAATCTGCCCATTTCTCCCAGTTAGACCAATCAGCCTCACCCAATCATGTGATCTTTGCATGTGATTGGTTGGAGGGACGGATCAGAACAGACCAAACGTGAATCTTCGAGCTCTACAGGGACCAATCGTAATGCCTTATCACACAAATCAACCAATGGGGTGTTTTTATTCTGATTAAGTGGATCCTAAAGACTCTTTTACAGCCCAACCGTGTGTTTCTCTTTATATCTGAATCGGGACATATCAGAAATAAACCGAACGTGTTGATTTATTTTAACTGTCGTCATTAGGCTAATGTCTACGAGAATTGTGTGTACATGTTATTCTTATGCTTGATAAATATCTAACATGCCAGCGGGCTTATGGACACCTCAGCAAAATAACATATCTGCTCTGGATCAGTGTTGCATTGCATTTTAAACTTGTGTTTGGTAAATAAAGCTGTACAGAAATGCAAAAGTGTAAGACTTTGATTATTCTGTTTCGCAACTCCAAAATGACCTAAAATATGTTTATTTATTTTTTAGTATAAAAATGCAGATCCTATTGAGATTCAGAAGTTTAAGTAAGACTTCTTCCAAAAGAGTTTTTGGAAGAAGTCTTTTCTGTTCACCAAGGCTGCATTTATTTGATCAAAAACTGTAAATACAGCAATACTGTGAAATATTATTACAATTCAAAATAGCTAATTTCTGTGTGAATATCTGTTAAACTGTAATTTATTGCTGTGATCAAAGCTGTATTTTCAGCATCATTACTCCAGTCTTCAGTGTCACATGATCTTCAGAAATCA